AAATGTTAGATGGATACAACAACATAGCAAACAGGTGCTTGGGATACATGGTTGCTTCCTACACACATTTCGACCCTAGATGTGTGAATTCTGATTTAATTATGATTTTAAAGATTACAGTAGAGCTTGACTTCTGTCCTTATAGATTTAAGGATACATTTGTCTGCAGTATTTGAAATATGAAGTATCATAATGCCCTTTGAAATAGCTTTTGAAATAGTGGGTTTATTTTGTTCCATTTTCTAATAATAAAATGGGTAGTTTGTTAGGTTATAGACTATTTCTTGAATTAATGAATGCCAGTTTGTAAAAGGATTAGTGGAAATATTAGTGTAATTATTATAATTAGAATGGAATTTCTCACAATTTTTTGACCTACCTGCTGTTTCCACGTGTGACACTGTGTAGTGTAACAGAGTATCGTGATGGTTTTGTGGTTTTGCTGATTAACATAGGCACATATGTTCATATCCACAGACATTAAGACTCTGCAGCTTAGAATTACTACTTTTAAAACATTTCAATTCATCCAGATTCCTGGGAAGGGTACAATTTTGAGCTCTGTGGTCTCTAGGGTGCAGTGAGGTCTTGAGACAAAGTAAATTTATGCTACCATGATATTGATGATAAAAAAAAAAGTAATTCTATTTTTATAGCTTTGTACTAAAGGTTAACAAAATTCAGACCTGAAAGCTGCAGAATCCATCCAAATGAACATGTAAGCAGAATATTTTATTAGGATCCAATATCAATTGATAGGTATTTGCTTACCAAACTGATAGGAACATATGCAATGTTGATCATATCACTTATGTCTAAACACAGAGTTACAGTTGAAATGAAAGTAAAATTATAAACTTGAGGAGCAGTTGCTGTGCTGCTGAAAAGCTGGTGGTTTAGGATTTTTGTTAAATGAAATTCTTTCTGTCTTCCTACTCTGGCTGTTCTACCTTCCATCCTAACCTCCTTCCCTCATTTTCTGTCTCCAAGTAATCTGAAGTTTGCATTGTCTTCTGTTGCCAAGTGCTGTGGAAACATATGGACTTAATTCCTTTTTTTCTTTGAGAGTGAACAGCGTCTAATTGAAAATAGGAAGAGCAGCATTGCTAAGTGTTTGAAGGGCACTTAGTCTCTGCTTCTGTCTCCTTCACTTAACCAGATTAGTATGGTCTCTGGTATCTGGACATTGGACACAGATCAGTGGGGAAGTTTCCCATCTGCTAAGTTGCCACTTCTTTCGAAGTCAAGTGTAAATACCCAAATAAATCTCAAAAATACAGCTTTGATTTCTTCTGTAACATTTGTTTTCAAGATCCTAGTCACTTTGAAAGGATGCAACATTTTGTTTACTGTAACTTGTTTCTCATTCTGAACAATAAAAAGGCTGAGAGTAGCCAAATATAAATAATGAATATAAACATAATGGTTGTTCCAAAGTAACAAACTTTTAGGTCTTCAGGTAGAGGAAAAAGAGGAAGGAGGGAAGTGAGTCAATAGAATTGCTAGTCTTTAGGAAGGAAGTTAGTCATTTTGTTAAACATTACAGCAGTTCCACAGCCCCACTCTCTTTGTACTATTGTATTGATTTTTTTCTCGTAATTTGGGAATTTTTTTCTTCCGTAAAAAAAGGGTTGGATGTTCTTGAGAAAAAATTGCAGTTGATATTTGTTATATGAGAGTGCATCTAAGCATCATGGCTAGTCAGCCAAAAAATATCCTGATTATTGTGGCATCAACATATTATTAGTCTAATCTCTGTACTCTGATTAATTGTCATATTCAACATATAGGTTTGTGTCTGCGGCATAATTACAAGAGCATCTTACTGAAACGATTATGCCAGTAGGAAATCTGTAGCAATTTAGCTGTGGCTTAGACACAACATTCAGAGCTGGGTTGCCTCTTTTTTTTGAAGAAGCTCAAGACACCAAACTAGTTTAAAGATCTAATGCAGGTGCCTGACTTGGTTGAGGCAACTATTTCTCCCTACAGATTGTATAGGGAATTCACATCTTGCAGCTCTGGATTGCAGGTGACCTGATTATTGCTTTTTTGTCTCACTTGCCCGCAGTTTTCAGACTGTATCAGATGTCATAAGTATTGACAGTGATTTACGGGCAAGCTGGTAAGCTCTGCTCTTGCTCTTTTGGCTTGCCACATGCTGCCTGTAACCACCTGAGTATCCTATGACTGCTTCTCTGCAATTAAATATGCTAGTTTTCATGAGGCCTTTTGTGTGTTGTGTTGCAGAGTCAAGATTCACCTGATGTCCCTGGTAGGTGTTGATCAGGCAAGCCACATTAGTCCAGATAAAATGGGAATAGTTTTTTTACTAGTTACTGAGTTTGGGAAAGCTGATATTTTTCTGATAGGCCTTGTCTCTTTGTTTGTATTCAAGATTGCTTTCTAATAGTGGGCACTAGTATAGTGGTTTTCAAGCAGTAAATGTGTAAGGTACCTTTTTTATTCACTGAGTAAAAAACTGGCTGGATGGCTGAGCCCAGAGAGTTGTAGTTAACAGGGTTAAATCCAGCTGGTGGCCGGTCACCAGTGGTGTCCCCTGGGGCTCACTTTTGGGGACAGTCTTTTTTAATATCTTTATCAGTGATCAAGACAAGGGAATTGAGTGCTTCCTCAGTAAGTCTGCAGAGAACACCTAATTGGGTGGGAGTGCTGATTCGCCTGAGGATAGCAAGGCTCTGCAGAGGCACCTGGACAGGCTGGATCAATGGGCTGAGGCCAGTTGTATGAGGTTCAATAAGGCCAAGTGCTGGGTCCTGCATTTCAGTCACAAGAATCACAGGCAATGCTACAGGCTTGTGGAAGAGTGGCTGGAAAACTGCTCAGAGGAAAAAGACCTGGGGTTGCTGATGGACAGCCAGCTTAACATGAACCAGCAATGTTCCCAGCTGGCCAAGAAGGCCAACAGCATCATGGCTTGCATCAGAAATAGTGTGTTCAGCAGGAGTAGGGAAGTGATCGTGCCCCTGTACTTGGCACGATTGAGGATGCACCTTGAGTATTGTGTTCAGTTCTGGGCCCCTCACTACAGGAAGGACATTTAGGTGCTGGAGCATGTCCAGAGAAGAGCAACCAAGCTGTTGAAAGGTCTAGAGAACAAGTCCTGTGAGGAGAGGCTGAGGGAACTGGGATTGTTTAGTTTGGAGAAGAGGAGGCTGAGGGGAGACCTTAGCACTCTCTACAGCTACCTGAAAGGAGGTTGTAGGGAGGTGGGTGTTGGCTTCTTCTCCCAAGTAAACAATGATAGAACAAGAGGAAGTGGCCTGAAGTTGTGCCAGGGCAGGTTTAGACTAGATATTAGGAAGAATTTGTTTACAGAAGGAGTAGTCAAGCACTGGAATGGGCTGCCCTGGGAGGTGATGGAGTCACCATCCCTGGAGGTGTTAAAAAAACGTGTAGACATGGCACTTCAGGACACACTTTAGTGGGCATGGTGAGGTTTTTCTGGGTTGATGGTTAGACTTTTAGAGGTCTTTTTCAACCATGATGAATCTATGATTCTGTGATTCTAGTCCTGAAGTCTGCTAGTCATCAGTCTTTTAGGCCTGTTAGTAAGCTTTTGGGCAAAGATAGTACTTTTTATCTGTTTAGCCTAATCTCAAAAGGAAACAGTTTGTATCCCTTTCTCACCTTGCTGCCAAACACACATCAATAATAACCTTTTGGTCAACTGCAGTGAATCTCAGGTATCAGTTTTCAAAGATAATTGCGTTTCAGCTGGTTTAATCAAAAACAGAGACTGTGTGACAGAGAGAAACAGACTGAGGTTAGTGTCCGTGTGAATGAAAAGACGGGGAGAATTCAGCTGTTCTGCTTCGCAGTAGACAATGACCACTAAAGACACAAGCAGTGGTAAATCAAGTAGTATGCCTGTGGCTCAGGATGAGCCATGAACATGGTGCTTCTTGCCCTGCTGACAGGACAACTGGGGAGACACAGAGAAAGCTGGCAGCTTTCAGTGAAAAGGCAATTGGGATAGAGGAGGAAGCCAAGGGCACAGAGGAATGAGCAGGGAGGGAGCGATCTGTTAAGTGTTCTGGGGGCAGGATGGGAAATGTGCCAGCATCCAAAGGCACTAGAATGTGTAGGGA